GAAAAGTTGTATACCTGCCTCTCACCTCCCAATCTGTTATAAAGGAGTGGTTAAATGAAAGAAATCTCTGATACTCATTTTATAATCAACAAGTAACAATTTATTTATCTAACTCTAACAGTTAACAAATGAACAGAACTACTAACAAACCAAACAATTCCCCCTTAACTACTACTATTCTCGAAAAAAAGAAAATTCTAATGTATGCTGTTCCAATAAATAAAAGTCACACCAATATAAACAAAACTAATTTAAAAAACTGAAGCTTAATATCTCAAAATTAAAGCCAATATAAATCTTCCGGAATGTTCTTTGACTTCTCCATTGTCCTCCAGTCAGAAACACCTTCCTCTATCAAATTCTTGTGTCAGGAATATTAACTTAGAGTGCCGTAGTACCTTTATTTAGATAGTGCTTACTCTGAGGATTTCTGTGGGAGCCAGTGATTTTCTCTTTCTTTAGACCTGATGGCTGTTGAGACCTGTTCTCTTAATAGGTGGGAGTTTGCTCTCCCACCAATTTTCAAACGGCCTCCTTTTTATACCCTTGATGACCTATTAATTTCTTACAATAGAATTGGTCCCAGGTTGTCAAAGCTATCAGATTTAAATTTAATTGGGCTTTGGTATCTAGGGCCTGGTTTAAATTAATTGGCTAAATTCAAAAACCTGTTGACTTGGTAAAAATGCTGCTTTGCCTGCTAATAGCTACTAAGACTATACATCCTCGCACCCTGCTTCCTGTAACAACTCCATTCCATTTTCTCAGTTCCTTCGTCTCAGATGAGGCCAACTTAAACAAGGGAAACTCCGAAATGTCCACTTTCTTCCTCAACCGAGGATTCTCCAGCACTGTTGTCGACAGGGCCCTCAGCTGGGTCTGGCCCATCTCCCGCACTTCTGCCCTCACCCCTTCTCTTTCCTCCCGCAACAGCAATAGGGTTCCCCTTATTCTTACCTACCGTCCCACCAGCATCCACATCCAGAAGACCATCAGATGCCATTTCTGCCACCTGCAGCAAGATGCTACCCCCAGACACATATTCCCCTCCCTTCTCCGCCTTCCGCAGGGACTGTTCCCTCCGGGACACCCTGGTCCACTCTTCCTTCAACCCCACAGTCCCACGGCACCTTCTCCTGCAACCGCTGAAGGTGTAACACCTGTCCATTTACCTCCTCCCTCCTCAGTACCCAAGGGCCCAAACCTATCTTCCAGGTGAAGCAACACTTCACCTGCACTTCTCAGAATCTAGTCTACTGCATTCGCTGCTCACAATGTGGTCTCCTCTACATTGGGGAAACAAAGCATATACTGGGTGACCGCTTCACAGAATATCTACATTCTGCCTGAGAAAAGTATCCTGAGCTTCCAGTTGCCTGCCACTTTAACACACCACCCTGTTCCCTGGCCAACATCTCTGTCTCAGGCTTGCTGCTGTGCTCCAGCGAAACTCAGTGCCAGCTGGAAGAACAACACCTCATATTCCGCTTGGGGACCCTACAGCCCTCTGGACTCAGTATTGAGTTGAATAATTTTGAAGCCTGAACTCTCCCATGTCCTGGCCCCCTACCCCACACCAGGTCTTGTTATCATATTGTCGGCTGTTACACATTACCTATTGTTAGTCACTAACAGTCCCCATTAACAGCTATCCACTCTTTTACAAGATCATTTTCAACTCCTTTATCTATCCAACTGTTGTTCCCTCTCTTTGGGCTCTATCCCCACCTATTGTTTACTCTTTACCCCTGCTCCCACCCTATCTTCTGCATATAAACCAACATTTTCCTGGCTACCATCAGTTCTGAGGAAGGGTCACCAGGCCCAAAACATTAACTCTGATTTTTCTTCACAGATGCTGCCAGACCTGCTGAGATTTTCCAAGAACTTCTGTTTTCGTCCAAGTTTCTTTCCCTTCCCTGTTGTGATGCAATGTCTGTAGCACCGACTCCAGCTTCTCAACTCAGGTCCAAAGTTCCTTGAGCTGCAAGCATGTACTTCAGATGTGTTTACTCTGGATTAAGGTGGTGTTCAGCAGCTTCCAAATGCTGCAGCAGCAAAACATTACCTGTGCCGCCATTATTGTTGTATTGGTTTAATTCATAAATTAATTACTCTAGATTCCCTGTCATTTATTTGTAATGATATTTTTTCAAAAAGAAAATTGCCAATATCAATGTTACACTTAACCAACTATTTTTAAGAAAAAAAATCAAGAAAATCACTGAAGTCCTAAAGACTTTATTATTAAAGACTAGAAATTTTAACAGAATTTCATTGGGTAAGACAGAAAGCAAATGGAATGTTGGCCTTTATTTCAATGGGAATTTAACACAAAAGGATGATTTTGCAAAAACTATGCAAAGTACTAGTTAGACCCTACACCTGGAATACCACGAACAAATTGAGCACCTTATCTAAAATACACTGACAATGGAGGCTTTTCAGAGAAGGTTCACTAGGCTGACAGCGTGGAAGGATAAATTGTTTTATGAGGAGAGATTGAGTAGGTTGGGCCTGTACTCATTGGAATGTGAAAAAATGAGAAGCAACCTTAGTGAAACATACAAGATTCTTAGGGAACTTGCCAGGGTAGATTCAAAGAGGTTGTTTCCTCTTGTGGGGGAGTAGAGGATCAAATGGCATAATCTCAAAATAAGACATCACACATTTAAGACAAATGAGAAAGAATTTCTTCTCTCAGAGGCCACCAAATCTGTAAGATTCTTTACTGCAGAGGACTGTTGAGGCTGAGGCATTAATATATTCAAGACTGAGATAGACTGTTTTTTGATCAGTAAGGGAAGTAAGGGATGTGGTGAAAAGACTGTGAAATTGAGGATTATTAGTTCAACCATGATTTCATTGAATAGTGGAGCAGACATGATGGGCAGAATCATCTACTTCTGTTTCTATGTCTTTTGGTCTTAAATCCTATTCCCCTGTCAGCTTCTTCCTCTGCACTCACGTCACACTGTGGTTCATGATGTCGCTCCATCACTGGTCTTGCTGCAGGTAGCCCACTCGATTCACACCTTTGATCTTCTCCCAGTCACCTATCATTCTGGAACATTTTCTATGTGCAGTGAACCTTGGTAAAAACAGTTCTCTCCCTTTGTACTGAATGTTCACTTGGATCAAATTTCTAGTTCACTCAGCAGGCCTTTGTCTCATTCAGCTGAAGTCTCCTTCACACTGATCATGCACCCTTAATCCAAACAAAAATTGATAAATCTTGTCAGCAGGAAGGGTGTGAACAAACAGAAAAATGAAGAGTAAAATAAAGAATAAATTAAGTACAAAAGAGTAAAGAAAAGAATAAAAACTTTAAAGGAGAGAAATTATTCCATTAAAACCGAGTTGAACATTCTTTGCAGCCTGGTGTGATGGATACAGCAGCTACTTTTTAATCATTAAAGCATGTGATGAAAGATGCACAACTTATATATATTTGAATATTATTTTAAGCAGATGAATGTAACTAATTTCTATTGAAGTTTTTTCTCTAAAATAAAATCAAGGTCCTATACTATGGTGGTGTATGACAGGTGGGTAAACATTGAAGGCTATTACTTTGTTTTCAGTTCAGAATAATCAAAATTGGTTTTAGTTTAGAAATCCCAGGAATTTAAAACTTTTAGGGCAGTTTGGAGGAGACATGACTGAGGTCAAAAGTAAGTTTTGTTATAACAGAAAGTCATGGAAAACGCAATCACCTCACTGGAAAAGTTTCATTTGTGCAGCTTCCAAACAAGGAAAGTTTGGTTAAATGCATGCAGATTATTAGAAGTTGAGAAAGTCTAAGCTCTCAATTTTGTGATTATTCATGCAAAATTGGAAAAAGAATAGGGATAATCAGTTAGATAGAGCTTAAATATTTTATATAGAGGAATAGTTTCTCTGGATGTGATTCTCTGTAAATTGACTGTTTGGGAAATAGGTTGTAAACTTTGTTTTGCTATGTTTTAAGATTTTCAAAATAGTCTTCTAAATTTAGATAGCTTGGTCTGCTTTTCCTCTTCACCTTTTATATGGTGAACTTCTGTTCTGTTTTAAAGAAGCTCTATCGCCACGAGTGACTATGTTTCAGTGACTGGTCACTTAGTTACTAAAAGTAAATCAAAATGGTCTACCAAGCCAGATTTCATTTTGGCACCTGACTTCTCCAACATTATTAAATTAGATCATAGCAACTGACTAGTATCTGAAAATCTATAATTAGGGTTCATTCAATGTTGCTAGCTCTGGTATTTGTGTATGGAAACAAATTTAAATAAAGAGGACTTGTGATTCAGTGACATTCATTGAGATTTCCTCCATTGCTGCACTGTAAATTGAAATGCAAGATCAATTAATTTCAGGTTTTCCTTTTCACAAAATGAGTTTGCAAATCACTTAGTTGCTCCTGGTAATGTTTCCCTGCAGTTGGTACATATCACTCACGTAAATGATCTGCCAAGATTTTATTACAGGCTAAACGTTTCCAGTCTGTCACAGGAGAACTCTGGCATTTTCAGTCAGGGGAAATTTCTTTTATATGCCACAATTTTCTATTGCACTCATGACCTTTCAAGATAGCATTACAGAACTTTGTGGTTTTGTAATGGTTGCACCTCTGGACAATTATATTGATTCTTACCTTTAGTTTTTAGCTCAAAGTAGCAGGTACACACGTAAGCCTTTCAGTGCTACAACAAAGTACAATTTTGTGAACAATAAATTTCCTGCTTCAGATCTACCTACACAACAGTGAACAAATCAATCAGAGATCTTGAGCCAAAGTCAAATTTGACAAAATTTGTAAACTTTTGTATTTTAGCAGTCACCAAGAGTTATATCTACTTAAATAATTTGCAAGCTCTGATCACTGGTAGACTTTAAAGTTAGTCACATGTACATGCAGCTGTTCGATTTATTTGGCTCACCAACCTGTACTTTAAATAGCTAGTCTGGTCAGGCTGCATCCACTCAGAACTTCACTAACACTACTGTTAAGAAGAAAGAAATAAGGCACAATGTCGGATCAGTCGCCTTTTGACACCGATGTCCAAACCATGACCCGGTTTGTCATGGAACAGGGAAGGAAAGCAAAAGGGACAGGGGAATTCACGCAGCTTCTAAATTCTCTGTTAACTGCAATCAAGGCCATCTCCTGTGCTGTGCGAAAAGCTGGTCTTGCCCATTTGTGAGTCACAGTCTTCATTAACCAACAGATATTGTGTAGCATAAACATTTGCATGCAATTTGTTTTATGCAAGATTGGAGAGTGAATTTTGCTTTACAAAAGATAAGAATTATTTTAATAGGTTTTCTTTAGAACTTATTTGGAATTCCCTTTGTGTTTTATGAGTTAAAGTACTTGAGAATAATTTTCTACTTTTTAATGCAATTTTCTTTTTAAGCTGTGCATCAACCTGAAATTTCGTGATCAAGTCCCTGGAAGTCAGCCTTTTCATTAAAATCTGACATTACAAATAGAGGCTATTCAGCCCATCCAGTCTGCGCTGACCCTTTGAACAGCATCCCACCCAAACCCAGCCCCACCCTATCCCTGTAACCCCACATTTACCATGGCTAATCCATCTAGCCTGCACATCTTTTGTCTGTGCAAGGGAAGCAGAACACCCAGCAAAAATCCACAGAGACACAGAGAGAATGTGCAAACTCCACACAGTCACCCAAGGCTGGAATCGAACCCAGTCCTTGGTGCCGTGAGGCAGCAGTGCCACTCCTTACACATCACTAAAGCAGGTGGGATTTGAACCAGGTGTCTTGGTCTTGAGGTAGGGACACTACAACTACACTACAAGACATCCCCCTTTAAATTACTAAGGTTGTGTGGCCATACTGGAAACTTTAATAAACTGCCTGCAAGTGGAAAAAGGGTGTGTGATAATATCTGCATTTCTACTGACAATTGTGGTCCTACTACATAAAAGAGAAATTTTGAATATTAGATACAATCAACTCATCCACCTGTTATTAACAAAAGCCTACTGCACAAGATCCGAAGTGAGAGCCTTGGTTAACTTTTCCCCTCCATTCCCATGATTTTGTTATGGCCAATCAAGAAGATATTGCAATATTTAAACAATACCATAAAAATTAAATACCATACAATGTAGTTATTTTAATGAATCCGTTTGGACACATTATGAAACAAGTATAGGAGGAGGTAGGGACACTACCATTGCACTCTAAGCTTGCCTTATAATTTTGAGAAACTTTTGTAAAGAAATCGTGAACTTCATCAGTCAGCTCATCTTTCAATGAGACACTTTGCAGCTTTTCATTGAGTTCAATAATTATAATCACAATCTTTACTCCCATTTTGTTTCCCTTCTTTGCACTTTTTGGCCATATTGAATTAATGTATCATTCACCCTTCCATGGTCCACACTTTTTGACTTTTAGTTCTTCTATTATCACTCCTTTTGAGCCTGGAGAAGCAACTCTCGTGTCTACTAATGTCTCATGTCTTCACCCCGAGTTTTCCCTTTTATACATTGTCTGCCCCTCCCCCATGTCACCTGCTTAAAATTTACTACATTTCCAACTTCTCCAGGTTTTTTTGTGTGCCTAATATTACAGCTCATATGATTATAGATTTAGCTTTTTAGGTTTAAAAATTGAATTTTAAATGTAATTTCAGTCGGGGAACAACCTGGTAAGTATGTGGAAACTGGCAAATCATACATAACTTAAGACAATTACAATTTAACAGATAACTTGTGTTTCCCGGAAAAAGTCAGAGTTAAGGAGCATAATGAAGATGTGACGTCTGCGCCAGAGTTGTTCCTGACCCAGGTCCCAATCTCAGCATGGCAGTCCCGTCCCCTAACCTGAGTACACCAAGATCATCCTTGACCCATGAACAGTGAACAGACCCTCCTGTTATAGTCTCTGGTATGTAATTATTCCTGTAAAAGAGATGAGTTATCCAAGTGGTGTCCCACCATTAAGGAAAGGTTACTTTCCAAGAATTAAAGAAAATTACCTAAGAACAGGGTGTTTCACTTTGTATTTGAGATGGGTGAAGCATAGTGATTTTTTTTGATTTTGTGTTCATCTTTGTGACTTCAGTAAGAGAATAGCAGTAGGCAAGATCATTTCTTTTAGAATCTTTTAAAAATCAGCTAGCTGTGGGGGAAGTGTATTGAGATGGATAGGAAACTGATTGGCAGAGAGGAAACAAAGAGTAGGAATTAATGGGTCCTTTACAAATTGGCAGGCAGTAACTAGTGGGTTGCCACAGGGATCGGTGCTGGGACTCCAGCTATTCCCAATATATATTAATGATTTGGATAAGGGAACAAAATGTAACATCACCACATTTGCAGATGATACCAAGCTGCGTGGGAGGGTGAACTGTGACAAGGATGCAGAGATCCTTCAGCATCATCTGGACAGGTTGGGTGAGTGGGCAAATCAATGGCAGATGCAATATAATTTGGATAAATGTGAGGTTATTCACTTTGGAAGCAAAAACAAGAAGGCAGATAATTACCTGAGTGGCTGTAAATTGGGAAAGGGGAGTGTGCAGCGGGACCTGGGTGTCCTTGTGCACCAGTCGCTGAAGGTAAGCATGCAGGTGCAGCAGGCAGTAAAGAAGGCATGTTGGCCTTCATTGTGAGTGGTTTTGAGTACAGGAACAGGGATGCATTGTTGCAGTTGTACAGGACCTTGGTGAGACCACAACTGGAATATTGTGCGCAGTTTTGGTCTCCTTTTCCGAGGAAGGATGCTTTTACTCTTGAGGGAGTGCAGCGAAGGTTTACCAGGCTGATTCTGGGGATGGCGGGTCTGACGTATGAGGAGAGATTGACTAGGTTAGGATTGTTTTCGCTGGAGTTCAGACGAATGAGGGGGGATCTCATAGAGATTTATAAAATTGCAGGTAGTAGACTGGGATTTCATAGTGAATGGAAGGGGACAGTGAGCTCTCAATGGGAGTTTCGCTCAGGTCATGGAGTTATAGAGCTGTATAGCATGGAAACAGACCTTTCAGTCCAACTCGTCCATGTCGACCAAACATCTTAAATTAATCTAGTCCCATTTGCTAGCATTTGGCCCAAAATTGCCTAAACCTGCCTATTCATATACCCATCCAGATGCCTTTTAAATGTTGTAATTGCACCAGCCTCAGAAGGCAACTTCCTCTGGCAGCTCATTCTATTACGCACCATGCTCTGCATAAAGAAGTTGCCCCTTACGTCCCTTCTAAATCTTTCCCCTCTCACCTTAAAGCTATGCCCTCTAGTTTTGGACTCCCCCAGCCCGGCGAAAAGATCTTGGATAATCACCCTATCCATGCCCCTCATGATTTTGTAAACCTCTATAAGGTCTCCCTTCAGACTCTGATGCTCCAGGGAAAATAGACCCAGCCTATTCAGCCTCTCCCTATAACTCAAAGCCTCGAGCACTGGTGACATTCTTTTAAATCTTTTCTGAACCCTTTCAAGTTTCACAACATCCTTCCTCTAGCAGCAAGACCAGAATTGCACACAGTATTCCAAAAGTGGCCTAACCAATGTCCTGTACAGCCACAACATGACCTCCTAACTCCTGTACTCATGCACTGACCAATAAAGGCAAGCATACCAAACATCTTCTTCACTATCAAGTCTACCTGTGATTCCACTTTCAAGGAACTATGAACCTGCACTCCAAGATCTCTTTGTTCAGCGACACTCCTCAGGATCTTACTATTAAATGCATAAGTCCTGCCCTGATATGCCTTTCCAAAATGCAGCCCCTCACACTTATCTAAATTAGATTCCATCTGCCCCTCTTTGGCCCGAAACATAAGCTTTCCTGCTGCTCTGATGCTGCTTGGCCTGCTGTGTTCATCCAGCTCTGCACCTCGTTATCTCAGATTTTCCAGCATCTGCAGTTCCTACTATCTCTGCTTTCAATACTAACTTCGTTTAGAGGTTAGTAATTGTCTGAGAATGCAGATAACAAGTTATGGTCTCAAGCAATCATGAGCTTTACAAAACTGATTGTTTCTTTATCATGTAAGCGTAATAAGTCTATTGTAATAAGGAAGTTAAAAGCTGAATGTGATTTTCTGATTTGGCGACAACACTGCATTGCATGTTCTGGAAGACAACTCACTAATGCTGCCATGTCATCACAATGAAAATTAGTCTACAAGGACACGGACTGTTATATGGCAGGGACATCTTTGGGTGTGACGTTGGGTGAGGCGGTTGCGTTTCATGATGGCTTACTGCCAGAAGTGTACTCCCAAAGGAGCGTAGATATGTTGGATGTCCACCGTGCAATTTGATAAGGTCAAATATATCAGAGCTCCATTTCAAGGCATTAAAATATTTCCTTGGGAAGCATCCATGCCACACTGTGTGAGGACATAGCATTCACAATCAATGTGATTATCAACAATGTGACGGTTCAAATGCCTCTTCAGTAACACTGCGTCATCTCTCTGATTTTCCCCATACATTACATGCTCAAGGCAAATGTGTCTCCTGGCTTCTTTATGGCCTTGAGAAGGCAGCAGATAAAGAGACAGCACTACAAGATCTCCAACCAGAACATCCTCCAACAGCTGCCACAAAGCATCCAGAGGAGAAGCAAGAGGACAAAATCCACCAAGAAGATGCGGGCAAATCGTGAAACTCAGGATTTTAGGCTTCACTGCAGTTTCCTGCAAATATCAGAGTGATAACAGGAACGTGTAGTGCAGTTTTGCCCATATGAGAGCCACCATTTGTGTGCCTTTACTTCCATAAGTTCCTTTAGACACTTCCTTCATCTGGAACCTTTCAATGCTTCAGGGTGCATAGATACTATTGCCTCGACATGCTTGAACATCACATTTAACTTGAGAGAGGCTGCGCTTTTTGCAGCTTTTCTCTACAGACTGCTACAATGTGAGGAATGGTGAACATACAAGGTGCCCAGTGAACATCTGCCAATCTTTTGCACTCCCTTGTGAAGATCATTGGAAAAAAAACATTCTCTACAGAAATGTAAGGCTTCATCACCAATTCCATATTATTACTCATTAGGTGGATATAATTGTGGAATGATATTTGCAGGTCAGGGTCTGGAAATTGCCTTTCGCCTCGGTGTCATCTGTCCAAGGACTGCAGATATTTGAAGCTGAGTGCAGTCGAAAACTTGGTATGACTTGCCTTCTTTTACTGTGAATATTCTTTC